TCGTCGCCGGCGGGTTCGCAGCACCCGCCTCCCTGTCCCCGCTCAGACGCACGGAGCCTCTGCCATGGACCCTCCCTGCTGGCCGCAGCGGTGCTCGCCCACAGGGGAAAGGGCTCCCGTCGGGTCTCGGAGGCGCTGGCCCCGGGAAGGGCCCTGCTCGGAGGCTTGCCGCGCGGGGGTGGAGCAGCGCTGGCAGCGCTGGTCGCGGGCCAGCCCGGGCACTGACCCCTCGGCCACCGGTGCCCAGCCCCTGTGCTCGCGTCCTTCGTTCCCTGGGCGGGGAGATGGCAGTCCGCGAGTGGCCCTGGCTCCAAAAGGAGGAGGTGACACAGGGGGGCGGGGAGAGTCCTGCCGTACCCCCACACCCACACCAGCTCTACTAGCCCCGTCTGCTCCCTGCTGCTGCCGGGACTGCCAGAGGGACAGGCAGGGGGCGCAGGTGGGACAGAAGGACTTGGAGTGCAGCATTCACCCCTCTCGAGACGGAAGCAGATAAAAAAGAATGCGAGGCTGAGGGTTGGGGAGGGGTTGGGGGCGCCCATGCCCTCAGCGACTCCACAGCCCGAGGAGCTGGACGTTAGGTCGGGCCTCGGAAGGAAGGCTGCGACCCTGCCTCGGTGGCGCCCTCGCCCCTCCACGCGCGCCTGTCCTACCCCAGTGCCCCTGCCCCACGCACACTCCTCCAGCGAGAGTGCTTTTCACTCTCCAAGCGCCACTGCGCGTCCCAGGAGGATCCCGAGCCCCAGCGAAGACCCCCCACCCCCACCCGGCCGCCAACGCCGGGGTTACAGCGGGTCTCTCGCGGGGCGGGCCGTGGGGATTTTCCACAGACCACACAACCCCTCGCCGCCCCTCCCCGCCCCGCGAGCGCCACCTCCCGGGACTGGCTGGCCGGGCCGGGCGCGCTCTGCGGGGGCCTGGCCGCTGGCGCCCCCGTGCGGTCCGCGCGCGCCCGGCGACAGGTGGAATGACCCCTTCCTTCCTGGAGCTGGGCCCTGTGGCCTCAGCTGACCGCCCGCTCCGCCCACTTCCCTTGCAGCTACTACCTGAAGGAATCCAAGGGCAGCCGGCGATGGCTACTGTTTCTGGAAGGTGCGTCCTGGGTGCGGAGGTGGCGGGGTGGGGGTGGGCCCTGGACCCTGAGGTGGCGGGGAGTGGGGTGGGCCCACTCGGCCCTGGACCCTGAGGTGGTGGCTGTGCCCGCAGGAGGCTGGTACTGCTTCAACCGGGAGAACTGCGACTCCCGATATGACACCATGCGGCGCCTCATGAGCTCCAAGGACTGGCCGCTCACTCGAACAGGTCAGCGTGCCGGGGACTGACCAGGAGCCCCCACGAGGCGGGGCGGGTGGCGCGGGAAGGGGCTCACAATCGGAAGTCCTGGAAGAAGCTCCTCCTCTTTCACTCCCTAGAGGCCCAGAGAGGCCCCCCCCCATCCATCCGCCCCCCCCAAAATTAGGGATCATTCATTCTCACCTTTCATTCTTCCACAGGTAACTTCCCAGGGCTCGCCCTGGCTGTGCAGTACACAGCTGGTCCCTAGGTCAAAATACCTGGTGGAAGGGGGGAGGTTGAGGGCCATGTCCAGATGTCACAGCCTGGCTGGTCATCCTGGCCATGGGGACTCCGTGGAGTCATCTGCAATGATTTCAGTTTAGGGATATTATAAATAAAGTTGGTATCATTTTTTTTAAAAATGTCACTTTGTGGATATATATATGCATTTCTCTTCTGTAAATAGCTAGAATTATAATTGGTGGATCAAATGAGAGGAATACGCTTATTTTTTTCAGTAACTCAGAACTTTTGTTTATATCCTTTTACACTCTGATCCGCAATGTTTGAGAATTCTGGTTGCTGCAAATCCTCACCAATTTTGCCGCCCCCCCCAAAATTAGGGATCATTCATTCTCACCTTTCATTCTTCCCCAGGTAACTTCCCAGGGCTCGCCCTGGCTGTGCAGTACACAGCTGGTCCCTAGGTCAAAATACCTGGTGGAAGGGGGGAGGTTGAGGGCCATGTCCAGATGTCACAGCCTGGCTGGTCATCCTGGCCATGGGGACTCCGTGGAGTAACTAAACCCATCCATTCATTCCCCACTTCCTCAGCCACCTTGGTTCAGGTGGGTGTCACCACCCACCTCCTTGCTGTGGCCGAGTAGGATGCCCCCACAGCCCCACACCTTCCTATAGTCCTCACCCCTGCATGCCCCCTCCCACCAGAAAGACCCACTGCCTCTGTCCTCCCCTGCCACAGGCACGGGGATCCTGTCCTCCCAGCCAGAGGAGAACCCCCACTGGTGGAACGCCAACATGGTGTAAGAGGGAGCCGGAAGGTCTTTCCTTGGGGGTCTTGTCCTTGGGGGTCCTTCCTGGAGGATCCTTCCTAAGAGGTTCTTAGGGTGGAGTCCATCCTTGGGGATCCCATCCTTGAGGGGGTCTGGTCCTGGGAGAGGTCTTCCTAGGGGGTTCCTGTCCTCAGGAGTCCTTCCTGAGGAGGGTGGTCCTTCCTGGGGTCCTCGGGCAACAGAGAAGCATGGCGGGCTCACACCATCCCTGTGTCACAGCTTCATCCCCTACTGCTCCAGCGATGTCTGGAGTGGGGCTTCATCCAAGTCTGAGAAGAGTGAGTCCCCTGCCTTCCCCCAGCTCCCCCCCCACCCCTGACAGAGGCAGGGCAGGGAGGACGGAGCTTCTGGAGAAATACAGACTTTCAGCCTTGTAACTCCCTCTAACCCTTTGATAGTGTGTCCCAGGGTGCCTGCCCTCAGCACCCATTGCCTGGCTTGTCCATGGCTGGCCTGACCCCGGGGCATCCTCACTCTTGGGTGTTCCCTGCGGGAGAGCCCCCAGCACAGCCTTGTGCACCTAACCCACCTCCCTCTAGTCTACCCAGACCCTGTTCCCATCCCCTCTAAGACCCTCCAGACCCCCAGCTATACCCCTCCTTCTGCCAACCTGGGGGTGGGAGGCCTTGCTCTGTGTCCAGGCCCCCACTTGAAGCCATCCTCCTTCTCTGTGCAGACGAGTACGCCTTCATGGGCGCCCTCATCATCCAGGAGGTTGTGCGAGAGCTCCTGGGCAAAGGGTTGAGCGGGGCCAAGGTGCTGCTGCTGGCAGGGAGCAGGTGGGCTGGGCAGGGGCTGGGGTGGGAGTGTGGATGGAAGGGAGAAGTTGGGTCTGAGCCATCAGGGCAAATGCATGACCGGGAGGCTCAGCATCACGGGGCATCTCAGAGGTTCGGCTCCCAGGTGCCATGTAGCTGGAAGCTGTCCAGAGGATGCTTCTGGGTCCATGGTTGTTGGGTGTGAGGGAAGCCTTGGACTGCAGTGACCTAAGCAGTTGGTTAGGGGTTAGCTGTGAACCCATGTACCACCAGGGCTGGGGTCCCTGTAGGCAGGATCACACCTGCCGGTCACTGTATCCCAGCAGGCATGTAGGGGACCCAGGGGACATCCAAGGAATGGACGGAGGGGCCTGGGCCACCTAGTTCATCTTAATTTTCAGATAAGGAAACTGAGTCAGAGAGTGAGAGAGAGAAAGGGAAGGAGGGGTGGGAGGAAGTGGGATGACCTGACATTTAGCGCTGGGTCAGTGCCGGGAGCCCTGCCAGCCCTTCTCTGCCTCCAAGACCTCGAAGGGCCCAGGGGACTTACACATGAACACAGAACGTGTTGGCAGCTCAGAATGCTCTCAGATCCCTGCCCACTCGGGGATGGGCTTGGGGATGGGCTTGGGGATGGGCGGGCCCTGGTGGGTGAGTGTCCTCCTCATCTGCCTGGCCTGACATCCCTCCTTCCCTGCAGCGCGGGGGGCACAGGAGTGCTGCTGAACGTGGACCGCGTGGCCGAGCAGCTGGAGGAGCTGGGCTATCCAGCCATCCAGGTGCGGGGCCTGGCTGACTCTGGCTGGTTCCTGGACAACAAGCAGTACCGCCGCACAGACTGCATCGACACCATCACCTGCGCGCCCACGGAGGCCATCCGCCGGGGCATCAGGTGCCCTGGGAGGGAGGGCCCATCCTGTTCAGAGGGCCTGGGCTGTGGTGGCATCTGTGGGTGGAGAAGCTCGTGGGGGGCCAGGGGCAGCCTAACCTGCAGCATGTGGCCTAGGTACTGGAATGGGGTGGTCCCGGAGCGCTGTAGGCGCCAGTTCAAGGAGGGCGAGGAGTGGAACTGCTTCTTTGGCTACAAAGTCTACCCGACCCTGCGCTGTGAGTGGGCATATGGGGCGGCGGGGGATGTTTACACTACCTGCGCCTGCTGGAAACCCAGCCTGGAGTCCAGCCCTCAGAGGCTAGGCCCAGAGACCATTGTCCCACCTAGGATGGGTGACAAAGTCATCTGGGCTTGGCTGGGACTTTCCAGGTCTTAGCACTAGCAGTCCACTTGGTTCGAGGCAAACCAGGATGGTTAGTCATGTTTCCACATCCACGGTGAGGAATGCGCTTTGGAGCTGGATCCCAGTGCTGCCCCCGTGTGGGGCCTTGGCTGTTCCCCCCAGCCCCACACTTGAAGGGACATTGTCACCATGTTTTGGTCAAAGTGGAGTCCTTGGGAGCCAGGCCAAGGTGCGGGGAGGGAACAAGGCATCTCTTCAAGGAAGGGTGCTGGGGATGCTGGCGGCCGGCACCCTTCACAGAGAGCCCGGTTGGCCTGTGAGCCTGCTATGGAGCTGACTGCAGCCTCGGGCCCCTGAGCCTGGGGTGGGGGGCAGGGCACCGAGGCGAGGCCCATCTGAGCCGTCCCCCCAGGCCCGGTGTTCGTGGTACAGTGGCTGTTTGACGAGGCCCAGCTGACTGTGGACAATGTGCACCTCACGGGGCAGCCGGTGCAGGAGGGCCAGTGGCTGTACATCCAAAACCTGGGCCGTGAGCTGCGGAACACACTCAAGGACGTGCCGTGAGTGTGTTGGGGACCCCACTCAGCCCCCACCCCAAATATACAGTAAGCCACTTGACTTAAAAAGAGAGAGAGGCCTCAAAGATGGAAAACAGGAAGCAGCCAAGGGGTCCTTGAGTACGTGACAAACTGTGGTCCATGTAGACAAGGGGATTTTACCCAGCGCTAGAAAGAAGTGAGCGATCGAGCGGCAAAAAGACAGGAGGAACCTTAAAGGCGTGTCACCAAGTGAAAGAAGCCAATCTAAAAAGGCTACATGCTGTGTGATTCCAACTTTATGTCATCCTGGAAAAGGCAAAACTACGGACACAGTAAAAAGATCAGTGGCTGCCAGGGGCTGGGGGAGAGAGGTATGAATAGGTGGAGAACAGGAATTTTAGGCCTGAGGAACTACTCTGTATGGTACCACAATGGTGGATACATGGCATTATACATTTGTCCAAACTCATAGAACGTACAACACCAAGAGTAAACCCTGATGTAAGAGTGAACCCTGATGTGAACCCTGATGTACAGACTCTGGGTGGTAATGCTGTAAGAGTGAACCCTGATGTACAGACTCTAGGTGGTAATGATGTGTCAGTGTAGGCTCATTGATTGTAACAAATGTACCAACTGGTGGGAGTTGTTGATGATGGGGGAGGCTGTGCGCGTATAAGAGCAGGGGATAAATGGGAGCTCTCTATGCCTTCCATTCAGTTTTGATGTGGACCTAAAACTTCGATTAAAAGCTAAAGTATATTAAGAAAAAAAAGAAAGAAAAACAAAATATTCACCTGTCCAGGAGAGCCCCCACTCCGAGCAGGATTTGGAGGCTGGAAGGAACAGGGGTTAGTAGGGAGCATGTGTGCTGTGGGGGACAAGGCCTTGGGGAGCCGCTGGCTGGCACAGCGGCAGGAGGGAAGTAGGACCCAGGCAGGGGACAGCCTCCCAGTAGAGGGGGCTGGAGCTGCTGTGACCTGTGGGCTTTGGGGGTGGGGAAGGGCTGAGGCGGGACATGGTTGCTCACAGGTTGTGTTCTCCCCAACAGGGCCAGCTTTGCCCCTGCCTGCCTCTCCCACGAGATCATCATCCGAAGGTCAGTGTCGCCAAGCCCCAGGACAGCTCACATCTATGGCTCTCACTCCAAGCATCTGCAGTGCCCCCATCCCCAGCAGGCCTGCCCACCGGCCTCCCCGGCTCTGGCTTCTTTTGGGGGCTTTCAACATCACTTAGACAACCCACTGTGTGGCAAGAATTCACTGGTAGCAATGCCATCCTCTGCTTTGGCCACACCTGAGTGACCCCCACCTGGGTTTCTGTCTGCAGCCACTGGACAGACGTCCAGGTAAAGGGGACCTCGCTGCCCCGGGCACTGCACTGCTGGGACAGAAGCCTCCACGACAGCCACAAGGCCAGCAAAGCGCCCCTGAAGGGCTGCCCCATCCACCTGGTGGACAGCTGCCCCTGGCCCCACTGCAACCCCTCTTGCCCCACCATCCGGGACCAGTTCACGGGGCAGGAGATGAACGTGGCCCAGTTCCTGATGCACATGGGCTTCGACGTGCAGACAGTGGCACAGCAGCAGGGCCTGGAGCCCAGTAAACTGCTGGGGATGCTGAGCAGCGGGAGCTAGGGCCCCGCCCACCTCCCCTCCAGGCCCTCCTGCCCTCCTAGGGCCGCAGAGCCCCAGCCATCCCCATCCTGGGTCTGGATGCCCTCCCATGGCAGCCTTCACTGCCTCTTTCCCACTGCCTCTGGGAGGCCCAGCCTGAGATGGACCCACCGTCAGCCCAGCTGTCGCCCTGGGCCCCCTCCCATCCCTCCCTCCTGACTCCCGCCTCCAGCCCACAGTGGGGAGTCAGAAGCACTGGATTCCTCAGCCCCCAGCCCAAAAGGCCCCGCCCCAGCCCAGCCCCCAGCCTCGCCCGCCCTTTTGTATTATTTTATAAAGTGACTTTTTTTATTACTTTAATTTTTTAAAAAAGAAAAATAAGCAAGAAATATATAGTGAATGATATTGTTTTGTAACATATTTTTTTTAAATAATGAAGAAAAAAGATAACAAAAGAGCCTCACCCTGTAGATGTGTTTATTTGAGGGGGCGCTTTGCCCACTTCACACCCCTCCCCCAACCCCGACTCTCCCCGTCCAGGGCAGCAGAGAGACTGGGGTCGACCATGGGGCCTCTTGCCCTTCAACCCCTGCTCCTTCTGTTCATCGTTTCAGCAAGCAGCAGTGATGGGCTTGTTTCGGGCGAGCCCCCAGCAAGGTTTTAAGCTCCCTTTCCTCTTTATTTTGTTCTTGGGGTGACATTCACGCCACAACTCTGCCATTTCTAAGTGCATGACTCAGCATTTGTACATCCACAATGTTTGTCTCCACCAGCAGCCTCCACTTGCAAACCTTTATCACAAAACACTCCCTACCCAGCTAACACTTTCTTAGAAGTTTGTATTGTATTTATTTTCACTACGTCACATATGCACATGGTCCAGAATTTGAAAGAAGCAAAGCTTTGGAGGGTGAAAATTCTCCCTCTGGCCAGCCCCTGGCTCTGCATCTGTGGCTAGTCCTAGAGGACCTGGCCTCCCATAAACACGTACACACACACACACACACACACACACACACACACACACACATACACTACTTTTCCTTCCACATGTGACTGCATGCCATACACTTGCCTCCTGGTTTCTCCTTCCCGTTGCATCTTGGGGCCGCGGAGAGCTCCATGCTGGTGGGACATGACCAGCAAGCAATGAGCTCTGTGCTTCATACCCTTTTCAGGTACGAAGGGTGCAGCGTGGCTAGCCTGTGTCAGCATCACTGCACGTGGCCGTTGTCTCTGTGGGATGCACCCAGAAGCGGCATGTGGGTCAAAGACAGTAAGCAAGCACCTGTGGTTTCAGTGACACACTGATAAGCGCCCCCCCCAGGTGGCCAGGTCATGACCCTCCAACAGATGTGGCTTCCTCAGCACTCCCTGCATTAACTGCCCCACGCACATGGCACCCTGATTCCTCCACGCGCCGGGCAAGTAGGTCTTATTATAAAACCCCAATTTACAGATAAAGAAACTGAGGCCCAAAGAGGCTATGTGAAGGGTTGAAGGGACAGAGGGAGGATTCATGCTTGGGCTCTGCTCCCAGCCTCCGACCACCCAGCCTCTCTCAGGGAGTCTGCAGCCCCAGTCCCAGAGTGGGGAGAATCACAGAGACCCCAACGTCTCACCCGCGCCAAGACTGGGGGTGTCCCCTGAGGTCTTATCAGCTCTAGGCCCACCTGCGGCCCACTCATCACCAATGTCAGCTTCCCCAGGGGGAGCTAAGTGGCCCAATGACGGTTTCCTCTGTGGACCACTCTTGTGGGAAGCCACGGAGTCCCAGTGGCCAAGGGAAACAGTGAGGTCAGGGAGGGGGGTGGCAAAAGGCTGGAGATGAAAGAAGGGGTACCCAGGGACAGCTGCTGGTTTGGGGGAACAGCCCCATCCTTGGCCTCCCTGGTGGGCCATGGACAGGTCTCCCCACGCGACAGTGGGCTCCCAGCGGGAGAGGGGGCTGGGAGGACCTGAAAGGGGCCTGGCCTTCACCTACCTGGGGAGACTTGTTCAGAGGGAGGGGCCCACACTTCGGTCAGAGCTGGGTGGGGGGGGACCCCGGAGGTGCTGGCGCAAGACCAGTTCCTTGTGTGGAGAAGGGCGGCAGGCAGTGACATCAGCACAGACAGATGTCTTGCTCTGTTTGAGGTGGGCTGAAAAGAGTCAGAGGGTAGCTTTGTGTGTCTCAGGCATGCCAGGCCCACTGAATGTTATACTTGTGGGTTAGGCCCAGTGGGATTTCACCAAATGAATAAATCCCTTCTCCCCATGTTCCTGACAAAGAAGGAACATGGGAGAAAGGCCTACCTCCGGCCTCTGTGCTTTACCGTGGGGACTAGTGGCAAAATGAGCCCAGGACCCTTAAGGACAGTGGGTGACGCCAAACCCGCAGTGCTCAGTGAGCCATCGATGTGACACACTGACTTCCCGACTTTTCTTTTTCTATTTTTTGTCCGTGCCACGCGGCATGCGGGATCTAAATTCCCTGACCAGGGATCGAACTTGTGCCCCCTGCAGTGGAAGCTCGAATTCTTAACCACTGGACCACCAGGAAGGCCCCAACTTTTCTAGAAATGTTGCTGCTTTACATTTTCCACAACACAGGCTTCCCGTAGCAGCAAAAATGCTCAGGACAGAAGCAACCAAGATTTCTTTTCAGTAGATGAACGGGTAAATAAACTGCAGTCCACCCAGACAATGGACCGTTTACTCAGCACTAAGAAGAAATGAGCTATTGAGCCATGAAAAGACTGGAGGAACCTTAAATGCATATTATTAAGTGAAGGAAGCCAATCAGAAAACCCTACATATGGTGTGATTCCAACTCTATGACATTCTAGAAAAGGCAAAACTATGGGAACAGTAAAAAGATCGCTCGTTGCCAGGGGTGAGGCTGGGGCTGACTAGGTGGAGCACAGAGGATTCTTAGGGCAGAGAAAGAACTCTCTATGGTCCCACAATATGGTGGGTACATGTCATTATACATTTGTCCAAATTCAAAGAAGGTACAAAACCAAGAGTGAATCCTGATGTAAACTGTAGACTCTGGGTGATAATGACAGATCAGTGTAGGTTCATCGATGGTAAAAAATCAATGGTACATCACTCTGGTGGGGATGTAGATAATGGGGAGGCTGTGCCTGGTTAAGGGCAGGGAGTATACGGGACTTTCGGTGCTTTCTGCTCAGTTTTGATATGAGCCGTGCTGAGAGCATGGAGCCTTGACGTGACGTGGTGAAAATAGCAGCTCCAAGAGGACAAAGACTCTGGTCTCCCTTGTTCGTTGCTGTTTCTCAGCGCCTAGAACGAGGCCTGGCACTCAGCAGCTACTGCAGAAGAACTTGTTTAGTGAATGAAAACATTAATCAGAAGGAATAGAAAAAAAAGTAATAACACACTCCTGGAAATTTTTTTTTTTTTTTTTTTTTTTTTTTTTTTTTTTTGCAGTACGTGGGCCTCCTCACTGCTGTGGTCTCTCCCGCTGCGGACCCCAGGCTCCGGACGTGCAGGCCGCTGCCCAGCGGCCACGGCTCACGGGCCCAGCCGCTCCGCAGCATGTGGGATCTTCCCAGACCGGGGCCCGAACCCATGTCCCCTGCATCGGCAGGCGGACTCTCAACCACTGCGCCACCAGGGAAGCCCACTCCTGGAAATTTTAAAGCCACAGGGAGACGTGAAGAGAAGAAACCCAGAGGTTTTGGTAAAACCTGTTATATGTGTACTACCTAGTTTTAATGACCTTTGCAGGCCCTTTTAGGAAAATTCTTTAAATATATTTTGAATAACATTGCTTTATTTGTACATACAAATACTTGTTACAGTGTGTGAAAGTTCACTCCAGCAGCTATGAGCACACCTGGCACCCAGATCTTAGTCTCTTACACCATCTCCAATAACAGGAACCAGGGATCCTTGGAAAACACCTAGCGGGAAACGTGCAAGATGAGCCCTGGGCATCTTGCAGTGCCTGCAGTGAGGAGGTGCCGAAAACCCCACCCCCATTGATGGGGGTATGTAAGGGGACACATGGAAGGCTTTGAGTAGCAGAATAAAAAAATATAGTTTTGGACTATAACTCAAAGTATAAAATAAATGTATAAAGTATAAAATAAAATAAAATAATTAATAAATTATAATTTATAAATAAATTAATTAAATTAATAAAATAAAATAAATTTATAAATGAAATAAAATAAAGTAAATTAAAATAAAATAAATTAAGTGGGGGAGGAAAAAAAAATCTCTTTGCAGAGTTCCAAATAATTTATGTCTATACTGTCCCCTCAAGGAGGGGAAGCATACACCCCCCTTAAGTGTGGGCCACGCATGGTGACATCCTACTCCCAGAGAGAACAGGATGGAAAGGGGGAGAAAGAAGAACTCCCCAGTGGAAACACCTGACAGACACACCTCAGCCAAGTGACCAAGGGCACAGCCACGGTGAGGAGTCATGTTGAGAGCACAGGCCCTGAAGGGATGTAATGAGAAGGGCACTTTCCCTCTGTGGTCTTCCTCCCCCAAACCCACAAGCCCAGACTAACAATGAGAAAGACATCAGACAAACTAGCAGAGGGACAGTCTGCACCTCCAACCCTCCTTCAAACCGTCGGGGTCGTTCAAACCAGGAAAGTCTGAGAGACCATCCTGGCCAAGAGCAGCCAGAGGAGATGTGGTGACTAAATGTCCCACGTGGGGTCCGAGACAAGTCCTGGAGCAGCAGGAGGGCATGATGTTAAAACTGGATAAAGTATTCACTTTGCTTAATAATAGTGTATTAATAATGATTTATCAATATTGGCTCATTAATTGTAACAAATGTCCCATAAGATGTCCCCAATAGGGGAATTCCCTGGTGGTCCAGCGGTTAAGACTCCATGCTTCCACTGCAGGGGGCCCAGGTTCAATCCCTGGTTGGGGAACTAAGATCCTGCAGTCTGCGTGGCGCAGCCAAATAAAATAATAAAGAATTAAAAAAAAAAAAAAAAAGGCCGTATAATGGCAGCCAAATGATTCATCGTTTCAGTCTCTGTAGAA